CAGCTGTAGATCCTGTCTAGTCACAGGCCTGGTCCCTGTTCTCATCCAGAAGTAGCGTAATTTTATTGAAAGATGGTGTAGCTGTAGTGCAAAGTGATTGATCATGAACATCCATGAAAGATGCCATGCATCCTTAGAGGCTGTATTCAAGGAGAAAGGCAGATCCCCTATGACATTTAGGTGCTGAGCAGAGATGACTTCAGTTTGACTTTGAGATCAAAAATAAATGAAAGTTTAACTATTTTGTTGGTGACCAAAGAACTGCTGTTGCGAAGTGAAACATTAACAACAGGGTGAGAGCGGGCCAGGATTGCTCAACGAGGTTCGTCTTCAGGTGCAGCAGAGCTGGGGTTGTCCAACGCGCAGGAAGCAGCCGGCATGGCAGAGGGGGACGACGTGCTGCAGGCTGCGAAGGAAGGCCAAGCCGGTGAGAGAATTTTTTAAAGATTTCTTCTTGCTAATCAGAGAAGAAACTTGAAGGTAAAAATGTACCAGGAGGGATGAGAAGTTTCTCTGACTGTTACAGGTTAACTAGTGACCAAGTGACAGGCTCTTAAACACAGATTAGGTACTTGATATTGTTAGTGGTATTAATCTAAATACCTTTACAATTCTGAGTCTATAATGGCTGGTGAATAGAGCAGAGATGCAAGTCTGAAGAATTCTGGCATATTTTCCTGGTTGTTCAAGTGATTTGATACATTTTTGTCTTAAATTATGTTGAAGTTTGAGAGAAGTCTGCAGGCAATGGAAACCAGTCTTGATCTGTCTAAATCAGTTAAGCCATGGTCTTTCTTGTAACCAAAGAATTGGAGAAAATAAGCCAGAAGAGACCTGGAGAGGTATCTTGTCCATCCAGGGCCAGGTCATGAAGCCCAAAGTGTTGCTGGCATGCATTCATCTAGCTTCTTATAACCTTATCTTGGAAAGAGAGGAAGAGGAGAGAAACACAGATATGGTAAAAGGGCTATAAAAGTATGGCCTGTGTGTATTAATTCAAAATAAGACTCGTTATTAAGAGACCAGTGTGGCTGAGCTGAAAATCAGGAAGGGATTGTACCACAAGATGAATGCAGATGAAAATGAAGAGATCGGTTGAGTATAAACAGATTAATGTGCACAATACTGCAGCAGGAAGCAGTGAGAATCTGAGGACTGTAAATGCAAAGGGAAAATGCAGGTTGTCTTCCTGTGGATTTGGGAACCAGAAAATATTAAATGATGAACTGAAAGTCATAGAAAAATGTATTCGTGGGAACTTCTGGCTTTGCGAGGCATCTGGTAGCTGAATATTACATTTAAGCATGAATCATCCTGCAGATTCCCCGCTTGCATGAAGGATAACTCAGAAAAGAGGATATTTTACAGAAAGCAGTCCTAGCTTTTGTGTTTACCAGTTGAAGTTGTTAGCACATGTTTTCACAGAAATTCAGGAGGGCACCTCATCCATCTGCCTGCTCTGGGACAGGACCCAATATTGAGCCAGTCCCTAATATGTTCTTATATACAGACATTAGGGATTGCCTAAACCCTGCAGCCGTCTGTTCCAGTACTCCTCTGTCCTTGCAGAAAGAGAGTTTGGCCAAATGCAGCCCCGAATCTTCTCTACTGAAAATAAAGTCAGTTATTTTTCTCATCTTATCCTCAATAAAAATGTAGAATAGTTTGTCTCTGTGGCTGTTTTTCCTGTCAATGGGTAGGGGTATCATTTGGTAGTAGTCTTCCCTGAACTTCATCTTTTTCTTTCCAGAGCTGTAAAGCAGTTTTTCCCATTTAGCCACATCATTTTGAGTTCATACCCTGTTCTCCCCCAGGCTTGCTCCATCCTGGTTTCGGACACAAACTTGAGCAGCATTCTGGCTGTGCTGATGTTCTCTTTGCTCATGGAAAAGCTGAGGACCTGTATGTTTCATGTCTTCCTAATCTGACAGAAAATCATTGATTGCTACACTGAGAGGGGTTTCCCAGTTGCCTACTATATGGATATTTCATCTGGACCCTCTTTTCCTTGTAAGACATTAGAGACACTAGAGTTAGGATATATCGCTTCCACAACTGCTCTGTTACACCGCTTACCCTGTCACCAAAGAATAAAACAGTCTGTTTAGAGAGCATTTTTTCCAATCCAAAATTGCTGTTTTGTAATCCTTATTCTCCTTTTGGTGCTTAGAAGGGATTCTCTGATCAAGTATCTCCCTGGCTATGGAGGAAGGCATCTGGGTTATCCTAACCTGCCTTTTTGAAGGCAGTGGTGATGCTTGTCCTGCGTCTGTCCTTCACAAGGGAAGTGGTTCAAAAACTACGCTCAGCCACTTGAAGGTGAACTTCATCAGGCTCTAATGATTTGAGCACATTTGAGGTATCCAAATATTCTTTAAGTGGTTTTGGTCTCATTTCACCTGTATTCCTACAGGTTCATTTTAATTATCTTGTTGCAATTTAGGTTTTTTAGTGAAGACAAACAAAAAGGACACAACTTTTCTGGCTTCTCTGGATGAGCTTTTGTTTGCTCGTTTTCTAGTTTAAATAACAGACTTTCATTTTCTTTCCTCTTTCTTCAATATTGACAGCATTTCTAACACCTTTTCTTATTGCCTTTTGTGTCCCCCTGCTAGCTGTAATTCATTTTGTGCCTTAGCTTTGCAGCCTCTATTGCTCCATGTTTGATCTGTTTGTTTATACTTGTCTTCAGAAATGCCACCTTATTTCCATTTGTGGTACAATTCCTCCCTGATTTTCAGTCCAGCCGCACAGGTCTCCTATCAAGTCTTATTCTGAATTCATTTGTATCCAAGGTGCTTGCAGATTTATTCTCTTTAACTTGTTCTTGCTGTTTGCCACGGGTTACCATTTATTACCAGATATTTGAATTCCTTTTCTCCCTTTCTGCCTCAGAAAACCTTCTGGCAGCTAATGGCCTAAACATTTCTGCAGTGTATTTGACAAGTAATATGTTAATCCCACAGACTGATACGGTTTTTCATGCTAGTATTAAAAAAAAAAAAATTAGCTTATGTGACACATGGGGCTGTGTACACACTCAGGAAATATAGCTGCAGGATGTTGAAAATATTAAGGCATCACACTGCAGCAGCGTGGGAGCCACGCACAAGGGATGGTGAAGCCTTTTCTGTCTTCCTTTTGTATTACTCCTTTAATAACTTTGCTGCTGTGTTTGCTCTGCTCCCCTGTACAAGGCAGAATACAACAGGCTTCTATTGGGAATTGTCTGGAGATACCGAGGGCAGTAAGAGATACCACCAGAGGGCTCAGAAATATTCCTTCTGCCTTGACCGCAGGGCAGACTTGCAGGACTCAAGAGTGCGTGCTAGCCTGGTGTGCAGGAGACAGGACCAATGTGCAAAAGTCTGTTCCTTGCACTGCCCCCAAAGTTGGGTGTGCTTTTGGGTCACTCTTGCCTGTGAAATGCGCTTACCAAACCTGAGCTCCCCGAAGGCTGTTCATGGCACCCGAGAAGTGTGATCCTTGTGAACAGCAAGGTTGCATGGGTATGCAAACCACTGGGGGGCTGAAGATGAGGAGCTGGTCTGGGGCAGTACTGAGGAGGTACTAAACTGTTGCTTTGCCACTGCTGTAGAAGAAAAAGGGAATAAGGAAAGGGTAGGCCTTCCTGGCCTCATCTGAATTTTGGACTGTTGGCCCTGTGTTTAGCTGCTCAGTTAGCAGGAGTGAAATGGGATGCCTGGGGGTCTTCAGCAGAAGCAAAGCCAGCCCACATGGGTGAATGTGGGGAGTAATTATGCTTCCTCTGCACGCTCTGTCCCTTATCTAAGTCTTCTCCATGTCTTGTTAGCAATAACTGAAGCCAAATTAAGGATCTGTGGTGTAAGCAAAGGTCTCTTTCCTGGTTTGTCAACTGCAGATTTGGCTCCCATGATACCCAAGCACTAGCAGCAACTCTGTACTGGAGCTAGGGATGAGTTTATGGAGACTCCTTGTACCAATTGAAGATTCTGGGTGTGGTTTGTACTTTTGCTGATAAGAGAAGGGAGAATTACTTTGGAAAATTCTTTAAACACTTGCCTTTCAAAGAAGCCAAATGTAAAGGAAAGAAAAAAAAAATGCTTACACGGCACTGAGAATATACTGCAGAGCCACAGCCACTGAGGGTGGTTTATGGGAAGGTTGTGAATTTTGCTCTGTAATTGAAACTGGCATTGGAAGAATACTGATGAAGAGCTCCTCTATTCCCATGGGAAGGGCATGGAAGGAGGGACAGCAGGGTACCGGCAGGGAGCTGAGCCCATGTAGCTGTAGGGGGAATCCAGGGGCTCCCAGCACAGCGTAGGATGCATTTGCCACATAGGGAGCCCTTTTGGATAATAGGAAGTAGAGGGTTTGGGGCTGCTCCTGGGTGCTAGCTGTGCCCTCTGGATTAAACTGTTCCATAGGAAAAGGCAAGGTCATTGCAGGAAATTGGTGCGGAAATGAGCCCTGGATCACTTCACTCCTGGGATGGCAAAGAAATGATTTAACACAGTGCAGGCATCCATGACATCCTGTGTCCGGGGCTTTGCTGTGATGAGCATTTTAGTAGTTATCACTTGGGATGGATGTGTGGCTTTTCAGTGGAATGAGATCCCTGCAGAATAAGCCAGCATTACCACATTGGGAGGGAGATGCACGCTCTGCTCCTAAATCCACAGGCTGTAGGGATATCTGGGACCTGGGATTTTTTATTCAGCTCACATCTGTTTAGCATACAGTGCTGCGCTGGGCTGGTGCATGTACAATAGCTGGGGGCATGCCAGACAAAAGGGAGGTCCCTGCCATGAAGTGCTGACAGCCCCAACCTGTGGATGATTTAGGCTGCACTCCCTGACTCTTCTTGAACTCTGGAGTCGCCTTTCCTGGTAGCCTCTCCCTCCCCTTTCTGCCCTGGCTGCACAAATGTGCTCAATTAGGGTTAACTCAAACTGAATGAAACTTCATGCCTGAGGTTGGAAATCTTCCCAGTCAACTCACCACAGCCACATAGCATGGTGGGAGACAAGGCGAGAGGGGAGATGAACGCTTTTCAGAGAAATGAATCCAAGGAAACTTTGTTCGCTTTTATTTCTGCAGGAGATGATCCCCCCAAAGGAGATTTCCCTGTTCAGAAAAAATCCCCGGTGAGTGTTACAGCTGGTTTCCTTTTCTTTGCTTTCTGCTCAGCTTGCTTTAAACATTGCAAGATCTCTCTGTTCTTTCCTCTGTTGTGCTCTGGCCAGAGACAAACACCCTTTCTTGCAGAGGGTTGAAATAAGCATTAACAACTCAAGGCAAAAATCCCTCCACTAGCCTGATTAAGTTAAGAAAGGGTGGCTTAAAGGGAAAAAATGAACTGTCCGAATGTTTGGGAGAAAAGGGTAAAGGTTTTGATTGCTGGCTTTTTCCTGTACACTACTTCCCTTGTGGGAAAAACTGACTTCTCTGAAGTGGAGGGGGGTGTCATGTGTGGGAGGGAGGAAGCTGACCTGTGGATATGCTCAGTTTGATGAAACCCAGCAGGGAAGGGTCCCCAGGTGCTGCAAAGCAGAAGGAAGGGCAGGGATTGAGCACAAGGCCACTGATGTGTGTTACACAGCCCAGCTGTAGTGCCAGAGCCTCAGGTATACATCTTTGACTCTGAATTAAAGCCAGATTCAGGTGAATATTTTGTTGCCGTGCAGCTTTGATGTTTATGCAGGTTTTCAGGCTAACTGGTTGAGTGCTTGACCCTTAAAAACTGTATGCTGTATTGTGCTTGCTTTGACTTGCAGGCCAATATGGGAATAAAATGCTCTTAGAGCTCACAGTCATGTCATTAGCAAGCTGACTATTTAACTCGCAATTTTAAGTACTGTGCAGACATTAACTATTGGATATCCAGAGCTCCTGTGGAATATTAATCTTAGTTCCATTTTGCAGATAGTCAGCAAGAAGGAGAGGGGAAAACAAATGTCTCCTGTAGCTGGTACTTTAAATAACCTTTCTTTTTTTCTAAAGACACAGACTACCAGCTTCCACAGTATCTTTAAGGGCTCCGTAATCCCACAGATCCCAGGCTTACAGTGGTAGCTAAGCACAGCAGGCTACCTGTGTGCTCATGAATCCAGGCTTAGCCTCTTTGCTTTTGCTGGGGCTCTCTGCTGAGCAAGGTCCTCCTCCACGAAAGCAAGTAAACTGCATCTGGTGCTCTGCATGGATGAAAGCAGCCCACTTCTGGATGTCCAGGCAGGCCACAGGCAGGTCAGTGATACAGCAGAGAGAATACATGAGGGTCTCTGCGTGTGCCGATGCTATCTCATGATGTACAAGCCAGGTGGAAGTACCCCTGCTTGTAAGTCGTTACTCTGTGTTTGTAAACACTTAGGGTTCTGGCTCAGGTGCTTGGGGAGGTTTAGCTGGGAAGTCACCACCTCCCACTCTCCTTTCCCTGATTGCTCCTGCTCATCTGTAGGAGATGCCCATCCCAGAGCAGGAGTGGCTGAAATAAGTCACTACCAGGTTTTCTGTCACTGCAGGTTGCAACGTGGTGTGTGATATCTTAAACTGCTGCAGCTAAATTCAGCAAGGCTTGTGCATTGGGTGTGGAGGGGTCATTTCAGGCAGCAGGGTTCCCGATGCCTGGCCATCTGGATTTGAACAGTCACGCCCTGCATCTCCATCAAATGTTATTAAATCTCATGAGTACTGATAGCGAGGTCTGTGAGAGAGAGGAAGAAAAATATCCCTGTTACACAATTTTACTTCCAAGTTCACAAAATGCCTCCAAGCACCCACAGGAAACATAATTTACCTGTTTTGGCTTTTCTTCTTTGTTATGAAAAACTCGTTGGAGAAAGGTATTTTGTGTGTGCATCTGTCTGTGTGTTTGTGCATTTATAGCTTGTATATGCCACCATTTTCAGGCCAGCCTAAAAGCAGGAGGCCCCATTGTGGTTTCCAAGGGAGCCCACTCTGTCTTACAAGCCATATGCTGAGCATGACGGTTTCAGAGTAAATAAGTGAAATGGATAATTACATATTTACTCAAGTAAAGCAAAGAGGCCAAGGGTTTCTTAATAAAAAGGCAGCCCTTAAATAGCGAGAGAAAAATTATTTTAAAAAAGGACAAAAATATTTGTCTTTAGAGATGCTGGGCTAAGGTTGGAAAGCGTTTTTTGGTTTGGTTTTTTTTTTTTTTTGTTGTTGTTGTGGACAGCCAGTCTTTTCTCTTTTCTTGCTCTTGTATAACGTTGAGCAAGACAGCATCATTAAGCCAGACTCTTTAAACTTGGTGCCATTGCTTTGGGAATCCAAATAAGCTCAGGTCTCTTGGTGGTGAAATAAACCTGAATAAACACATCTATTTTGGTATCTGTATTTGCATTTGGGACTCTGGGAAGAAATACAGGAATTCATTATTTCTGACACGAGGCACAGAAATGCATGTGAAGAGTTCATCTCACTTCACTGGCCCATACCATGGCTGCTTAAACCCATAAATATAAATGTAGCTGTTAATATCGCGCTCCCCTGCCATCTCTTACCAAGTGCATGGCCAGCCCCTCTCTCCCACTAATTGGCAGAGGCTGGGCAGTGCTGTGAAAACCTGCTTTCCCTGTTGCGAGGCAGTGGAGCTAAGCAGCTGGAAGCTGCTTAGCTTGGACTGCAAGAGAGAAGGAGGCCCGCGCAAGGTCGTGCCAATACTCATCTGTTTAAATGCCTTGTATTTCGCTGGAAAGTGCTGATTTTAGCTGGAGTAAAGTCAGATTCAGTGAAAGAGTGGCTGTGCTCAGACAGGTTTGACAGTCCCGTTGCTGTTTTGTTTAGTTTTGATTAACAAATTGAATTATCCATAGCTATGCCTGTGTTCTTGGAATACAAAACGGATGCCGTGCCTGAAGGAGTGCTGGACACAGGACTGACGTTCTGCTTCAGTGAGTGCAGTGGCACAGTTTGGTGCAAGTGAGGTGCAGAGATTGAGGGCAACTGTCGCACAGGAGGGAGCAGCTTCACGTGGAAGCAAACGGCAGCTCCTTGGGGTCTACCAACTGCTGAAGCAAGGTCTGGTAATAGGAGAGGGAGCAGTTTTGGAGCAGGGTAGTAGCTTTATCTGAAGTGTAGAAGAAAAGGCATCCAAAGGGGGTTTGCATTGAGCGGAGAGGCAGTGGGACTCCCACTAGAGTTCCTGGAGCATGGTGGGCTGCTGACAGCCCACGAATCCCCATGGCAGTTGTTACTGGGACAATGTCAGGTGGACTGATTCACTGGGGAGCCTTAATCAAAGCAAGATAGGTGTGGGGTCCCCTCCCTCCTTTGAGTCCAACCCACAGGCCAAGAAGCAGTGGGTGCCTGGTTTTTGGATGGGACTCCTCTCCGCCACCCAAGCACTGTGGGGGTATGTTGCTGAGATGAAGGCTTTCACAGAGCTGATACATTCTTATTTGTCTCCCACAGAAACTCTGTGGTTCCAACTACCCTCTAAGCATTGCCTTCATCGTGGTGAACGAGTTCTGCGAGCGCTTCTCCTACTATGGCATGAAAGGTATGTGTCCTGTGTCTGGGAAGCGACTTTTCCATCCTTGGATTTCTGTACATGCTGACCTGGTGTTCCAGGGCTGTGCTGTATGTGGTCTCAGCTGTTTTTCAAAGTAAATTAATATTTTGGGATGCAGGTATGAACAGTGTGCCCTAACATTGATACTACACCTGCTCTGAGCAGAAGTTGGGACTAGAAAGCTCCAAATGTATCTTCCAGTCTAAATTTTTATATGATTCTCTGTCTCAAACCTGGTTTTCCAGTGTGTGACATCTTTCATAGTTGTGTGCAATCAGCATATTTGGGAATTGAACCATACAGGTACCTAATTTGTAAATAGAAAATGTGCATAAACAGAACTACAGGTTATGGTAAGATAAGCTAGAAAATATATTTTCCAGCTAAACATAAATGTTTATGAGGAAAGAACGCCTGATACTCGTATATCTCATTTTAGCTTTTCCCGTGTCAGGGATTATGAGGAATAGGTCTGAAAAACCAGATCTTTCCACAACAGTGCTCATAGCTGCTAGACAAATCGGTGGTTTTCTTGCCACCATGATGTAGTTTCCTGCT